GCACGGCGAGGCGGCAGAGTGGACCTGCACAGCCGCTGTCGGGCCCCACTCTCTACATTTCCATTCTTCCGATTTAAGCAAACTCTCTCCCCATCTAGCCACATTAAGTAAAACAAACAAACAAATGGGATAAAGTTTCTATCGAACTCTTTTCTTTTGAACTGAAGATACTTGAACTTGGTTGAGTGAACAGTAACACCAAATAAATTCTCTTGGGGTTAAAACGCCTTGTCTCAGCGAGTCAGAATAAATCCAAGCACAGGAAACATGCGGTCCTGGAAACTTCTAAGAATGACCACGAGACCATAGCTATGTCTTGGTCACTCTCTTCACTGCACAGACACAATGCCTGGCACCCGGAACTTAAAGGAGAGAGGTTAATTTTGGCCCCTGCTCTCAGCCACCTTTGGCTGACACCGAGGCATAAAGGGGATAGCAGAACAGAAAGGTGCTCAGCCTGTGGCAGCCGGGAAGCAGACAGAGAAGGGAGGAGTCGGGACAAGAGGACAGACTTCCCTTCCCACCCCTGAGACCGGCTCCAAGCACGCCCCTCCTAGCGGCACCTCCGCTGTGAGCTCCTCCGTGGAAGAGCCCATGATGAGAACCGCGCCCCATGACCCGGTCAGCGGGCACACAGGAGAAATTGGGGACATCTTAGATTTAAAAGGCAACAAGATTTTTCTCTTCAAAGAAAAGCGGTACCTTTCTACCAAGTAATCAGAGGATATAGAAGCGCACGCGCGCACACACACACACACACACACACACACACACATCTTGACTACTTTTCGTTTCTAAAACAGAACAATTCCCAAAGGACCATTTTCTAAAGCACTAAAACTCTCAAAAAGGTTCCGGAACAGCACATTACTATAACCTGACACCATGTTTTAGATGTGGCCCAATCAGGGCTCACAGGACGGCCATAAACCTCGCCTCTAATAGCCGGCTCCACGCTGCGCTGCCCGAGTGCGGAGGAAATGACTGGGCCGAGCTCTACACAGGAGGCGCAGGGGCCACATGCAGGCCTGCCCCGGCCAGCTCATTACGGGGCTGGTCCACTCCTTCCTCGTCACAGGTCACTTGCTCCCGTCCTTCCTAATCATGCCCCAGTGTGGAAGCGCTCGCCCAGGCCGCAGCGGACGGCTCAGCGGGGCTGCTGGGCTGGGCTGACAGGCTGAAGCTTGGAATCTGCAAGTCTACACAGTGACACGGTGTCCCCTCAGCCTCACTTTCCTGCAAGTCCTGGAAGGCACTGCTGACACGGCCAGCCCTGCCACTGCCCCCACTCCGCTGCTCCCTGCAATGCAGGAAGCTTGAGGTTTGAGAATCCATGTTCCTAAAGGCGACAGCAACAGCTGGACATCAGACAGAAGCCCACCTTTTAGAGGAGGGAAATAGGCTGCTCTCGCACAAACCGTTTTCTCCACAAAGTGCCAGGCACTCCTGATTTTAACTTGCTAAGAATTAAAGGGATCAATTGTCTCCTCTTTGTGCAAGGGAAGCTTTGAAAGTGACTCAGACTGCAGCCTTCGTGCTTGGCATAGACACGTAGAGAGCACATGGCTCCGGTGGAAAGCTGGCGCATCTCTGAGGCCAGGCACGGCCACCAGTGAAGTGTGAGGGCTCTGCCACTCTCCCAGTTCCCCGCCAGCTGCGTGTCACTCACCAGGCTCTGGAGCTTAGCTCCTAGAGGCGCTCCGACAAAGCCCTGGTTCCATCTGGAAACCCTTCCAGTTTCTTCTTCCTCGGAGACCAACACTCCTACAATGTAGCTAAAAGGAGCGTTGTAGTATTTTTCAGATTTACATAAAAACAGAGGGGAAAGAGGAGATCGAGGAGGAGGAGGCTGCTGAAACACTGTGTTGAACCTAGATGCTACTCCTTGTGCTTGTAGGAATATTGCCTTTTTACTTAAACCTAACCATGGATACCATGTCATACAGCAGGTGTGTACGCCTGTATCCAAGATGAACACAACCAGCATTTGCTATGTCCCATTCTTTGATCACCTATTTTCTCCTCAGCGAAAGAGGGTAGACATTTATCTTATATGGTGAATCTGCGATGTGTGTGTGTGTGTGTGTGTGTGTGTGTGTGTGCTGAACTTCAAGTGACATAACACATTCATGATCTTAAATAAAAGAAGTGTCTCGAATGTAACCAAATGCATGCACGTATGATGTCGGCAGCCCTCCGTGTGAACTCAGGAGCACAGTGTGACCTTGGAGCTCGGCATCGTGCTCTCCACAGTCATCAGCAGTTGACGGTTCTCACTACACCAAGGTCTGGTCACCTCAGTTCTGGATGTCACAGCCCACCCAAGGCAACTGGAAGGGAAAGGGCTCAGCGATGTGCATGCCTTTCCTTCAGCAGCTCTAGCCCTCTCCAGCAACGCTTCCAGAGTTCTGCTGCTGTCATCCCAGCCGGAACAGTGTGGCAGGACCACCTCTGGCTGCAAAGAAAGCTAGAAAGGGAAGAAGACAGCTAGCTCCTTACCATGGCTCAGGAAAGGGGTGACTCTATCTGCACCTGGACACATTTTCTCTGCAAACTAAATTGGGGTTCCATTGGCAAAGAGAGGGTGCCTAGAAAGTGGCTATGGAGTAAGCCTCTGAAGGTGTTTACCACTAAGGATTACAATAAAATTCCAGACCATGTATGGAAAATGTCCAACAGTGTCTGGAGCACAGTAGGTGCCAAGAAAACAGGAAGTGTGCTTAAACAATACCAGTAGATGCAGATCTGTAGAGGAATGGTGAACCTGGAACTCAATGAGTTTGACTGTGTGAGCGTTAGCGTGATTGGACGCTCTGCGCACTGAGAGATTTGATTTACTTGTGGAAAACATTGATTAAAAATGAGATAGCATCTATTGCTATAGAAAAAGTTAAAAGTTCACCTTTGATGCTGATTCTATGAAGGTTAGGAAAACAACTTACCATACCATGTATGCCCGGTGTGATCAGAAAATATCATGAATGTTTAAATCTTTTAGAGCAGAAGACATAGCTCCATCAATCTCCTTCAAGACACTCCTGCTCCCTTAGGACATACTCACCCTGTCAAACTTGCCACTTTCTGAAGCAATGTATAGTTTATGTTTAGAGCAATTTCTGTCAAATAAAAATATTACAGTGTGTCCTGATCAATCTTGTTCACCAGATCTGGCAGTATGACTTCCAGCTCTTCCCTGAGTCAGGCCTACCACACAAGGTAAATGATTGGAACTGATTTTGGACACGGAGGTAGCCAGGACAGAACAGTAGAAGACACTCAGGGAAGAGGATTTCTGCCTCAGGAAGTGGCAATGAGGATAGAATGAGTATGTTTGAAGCGAGGGAGAGTATGTTTTTTAAGATGGATGGCAATGTATTTTTCACTGTAACCTTTTTTTAATGGAAGCGTTAACTATATTTTTGGTTGCCCTCCCTTGGCTTGTTAGGGACATTTTCCAGTATTGTGAAACAGTAATTCAGTCTTCTACAGGGGACCCTTTCCATGGTGACATTATCCCAGAGTCCTGGAGTGGATCCCAATCTCCTGCCCAGAGTTACTGGACACTGCAAGAAGGAAAAAGAACAAGAGACAAGAACTGCAAGGAACTAGGACTCGGGGACGATCAATGTTCTCTGGGAACAAAGGCCAAGAATCTCCTGCTAGCCACTATTTTATTAGCCAGTACACGGGGAGGGTACAGTACTTTCCCCGGAACAGCATAGAGGCAGTGGTGGAATGGGCAGGTTCAACATCATACAGGGAACAAGTTAAATTCCTCCCACGCCTGGGTAAGAGTTTTCACTCTGTTGTCCTCAGCAGACCTCATTCTGCTCTGTGAGCTTCACAGCCTCACTGACCATCAAGATCTCAGCAGCAACCAAGAGGAAGTGGGATTTCTACATTCCAAAACCATCCCACAGAGCCAGGAGTGGTGGTGCACGCCTGTAATCCCAGCACTCGGGAGGCTGAGGTAGGAGGATTGTTGCAAGTTCGAGGCTACAAAGTGAGCTCAAGACCAGCCTGAACTGCATAGTGAGACCCTGTCTCAAAAAGACAAAAAAAAAGAAAAAAAAAAACCTATAAGGCAGGGCAAGGAGGGCCTCAAATAGATGCTGTCAATTTACAAGTCGTGGTCCCCTACAGTCTTTGAGGTTGGGCTCTCCTTCTCTAACAGTAAGGCTCATGCACTTCAGGGACAAGCTCTCGGTAACTATGCTTTCAGTTCACAGGCATAGCCACTTCCTGGAGGCATATCCCATCCTGCATCCAACTTTTAGGAGGGGTTCTAGCATCAGCCCCAGCTGTCTTTCTTTCTGTCAAGAAAGCTAGATCTTGGGATCAACGGAGAGCTTTCTAGACATACAGTGAACAGTATAAGTAATCAGTCTCACAGGAGGTTAGAGTAGAAACAGATAGCTCTCCAGGAAGATGGGCTTAACGTGTTCTTGGAGAAGACAGCTTGAGATTATGCAGACCAGAGCCAACTGCAAGGGAGTCTGGAGCAGACGGCTCACTCTGCTTTGATGAGGGAAAGGTAGGATTTTCAGAAGTAAGAAGGGGAAAGTAATATTCTGGCTGGACTGACATGTGTGAACCAGTAGGCACTTATGAGAAAAAAATCACGTGTGCAAAATAGTGGCCCTGTCGGGGGATTCTGCTGGGAAACGATGGCAAGTGCTCGCAATGGTGGGTTGACTCCAGGAAGTGTATTTTCTGCCGAGAATTTTCAAGTTGTATCCCTTTAACATTAGGAAGCCTTTGAGGATTTTGATTCTCAACAGGAAAGGATAGAATGAAATTTTTAATGTGCTCATCCAGTGCAGATGGGGTGGATTAGACAAGTGGAATAGGAAGAAAGGACTTGGACAGTCGTGTCCTTTAGTTCTTCAAACATGAGAAGTAAAGTCCTAAATTTGAGGGTAACAGTAGGAATATAAAGAAAAGAAACAATGTGATGAATATTACCCAGAAGAGCTTTTTTGCAAATCTTAGGTCAAAAATGGCTGTAATTTTGAAGCCTGATGACTACAAAATTATGAATTCAACTTTATCTGCCAAGGTAGATGCAGTTCCAGGGTTGCTGGGCCCATACACATAGTGGAGTTTACTTCTTGCTTGGGTGAGTCTGCTGGGCTGGTGGATTTTCTTCCATACAGCTCTTCAAGGACATCAGCTCCTCAACTGTGTGGCTTCTGCATGATGCCAGGCTGCAGGGTTGCAGCCTTGAGCCAGCAGCACAGGAAAGACAGCAGAACCTGGTGCAGGAAGGACCCAGAAGCCAGACGCTCAGCCCCACACCACTCCCCTGCCTGCCGTGCACTGCCTGGAGCTCACGCATAGCCCGGAGCCCTCCACTGGGACTCTGGACAGACCAGCTACTCCGCGTGGACGAACACCCAGCAGTCCTCTCACGCTCAGTTTATGAGAGGGATCTTATAAAAATATTTTCAGCATAAAATACTGCTATAAACACATCATTTTCTCTTTAAACTCTTCTAATAGGAAAATTCTACCCACACATTTCTTAATTGGCAAGGGTCTTCCCGTTGCCTTTCTCAAGAATGTCTCTATGGCATAAATAAAGTGAGCCCACTTAATTTCTCGGTAATGGCTTACATGGTTAAAAGGTAAAGGAATTTCATGTTAGAAAGGTAGATACTATCACTAACCATGCATTAAACAGGTCAGTTATCCACATTTTCTGTGAAATGCCTTCCTAATCAGCAAATATTAAGCCTAACCATGGAGCTACATACATCTGTACACAGTGATTCCAATGTATTTTTCTGGCTTTCTTCCTCTGCTGTCACGTATTTCTTCACTGGAAAATCAAACAGCATTATTACTGTTATTGTTGTTATTATCATCATCATCATCCTTGTATTTCTAGAAAATGCAAGAGAAAAACAAAATTAAATAAGATATAATTTAAACTATTTTCTCATATGCTAGTTACTAAAAAGAAACCTAGTTGAATTTTAGCAAGTAAATAAGAGTCGTAGTAATTCTGCATGTAACACAGGTGCTTTTGTATATGAGGGTTTTTAGTGGAAACTTTCCAAAAGTGACTTCAAATTTGTGGCATTTGTCTGGTTTGATATTGAGAAACCTCTTGCCTTTTAGGATTCATTCAGTGATGAGGGAGGTGTGGGTGGTGGAGAGTGCGCATCAAAATAAAGAGAAGTGAGAAGAAAGGAGAAAAAAGAATTTCCTCAGATGCTGGCGGTGTTAGAACTGTCATGCAGAGGGGTGGTACGAAGCAGCATTGGGTATGGTGTGAGAGACACAATTTCTGGTGCCAAATGCCCTCTTTTATTTGATGCTATGTAATTTTTATCACCTATGCTATGTAATGTTATCACTACCACCCTTTACCCAAACCTCATGACTTTGAGCAGTAACCTCTCCAAACCACCATGTTTATATTTTTTAAACAGTAAAAATAATAGTGTATATCTCATAGGGCTATAATCAAGATGAAAGGTACACTGCACACCAGACTTATGACATGATCTCTGTCACACTGCAAAAGCTCCATGGATTATAAATGGCTACTGCCATTGCTGGGGGGAATGAAAAGAAAGAACCTCAGGATGCCTTTATTAAAATGACCACAAAGAAGCCAAATCTTTTCTCAAGTCCATGCACAGCCTCCTCTAATTGAAAGGTTCATCTCAGAGGACGCTGTTATTTATCACTCTTACAGTGACATGAAATGGTAAAGTGTCCTTTGGGAGTCTGCCTTTCAAGGCCAGTGTTACTGAGATAAGCAAGATGCACAATAAAGCCAGACCCAAGAGCAGTCTCTACGCTCAGAATTTATGCTAAGTGCAGCTAAAGAGATGAATGCATTTTTGTGGTTTAACTTCTGGAGACCTCTGGTAGGGTGACTTGGCTCATTACACTTCTCTCTTTTAAAGGAACCTCATAAGATGTTATCCAGAGAACATTTCAATCCAACCCATTTGTGATTGCATCTTTGTTTTGAAAGAAACTATTTTTGGAACTGTTGGTTTAGAGTTCCAGCGTTTGGTGTTGTCAAAATTAACTAGATAGAGATACCAGGCAGAACGTAACTGAATCATCTAATGGAACTCATGTGTGGAGGAAAACTACTTGACAAAAAAGAATTGAGGGTCAGGGGAGAGGGCGTGCCCTTGGGAATAATAATGTGATGTAGAATATGCCTTAATATGCTGGAATCTGAAAGGGCTTTATATTGTCTTTTCTTTAAAGGAAATTAAATTGAAGTCAGAAGCTATGCTCTCCTAAAATAGTAGCTATCTTCTTGTTTATTTTTAATTAAATTCCATCTAGATAAGGGATCTTCATCTTCTTTTATATGGGCTTTGCTGCCTGCCACTGATCCATGTACCAGATAAACAAATCACCTTCCAAATGGGATCCATTTGGGATAGCTACTTTTAGAAGCAGTGTTTTCAGAATCAGATAACCCATAATATCTTTTGGTAGCCAAAGAGAAACTCTTATTTACTTTGGTAACTAAAATCTTCTTTGAGGTCTGAAAGAAAAGTTGCCACACAAAGGAGTATTCAATCTCATTGTCCATGAGTACTAATGCTCAGGAAAATTAATCAGTGGCAGTGTTGGTGTCATTTGATGCTGTCTGTGATGGCTTCTACTAAACAAAGAAGCAACAACAAATGGTAAAGTGTCCTTTGGGAGTCTGCCTTTCCTTTGTGTCTCTTAGCCTTGACAAGGTACTCACAATTGTACCATCTATCCATCTCTTCATCCACCCATTCAACCATTCATCCATCCATCCATCCATCCATCCACCCATCTATCCATCTATCCATCTATCCATTCATCCACCCATCACCTGGTTGCTGAGCACTGACTATGCACAAGGCAGTGTGCTAAGCTCAACAAGCATAGTTTTTGCCCTCACTCGCTTACTATAACCACATCAAGTAACCCTTTAGTGTCCTGCACATGCAAGTTACTGTGCAGTACAAGTTGTGAATCTGTAAAAGAGGTGAATCTTTGTGTGCAAATAAACCCGAGGAACATGGAGTTGAACCACTCATTGATTTTCATTTCTGAAGTGCTTCTTAACATCTTTGCTATGCCCCAGACACTGCTGAATGGATTGTTGCATACAGAGAGAAGGATGGATGGATTGGAGGTGTATTCCTCAGCTTTCCCATTGCTGACACACAATACCCAACACCACCAACACCTAAAAGGAGGACTGTTAAGGCTTAAAATTTTTTTGACCAATTTTGCATGCTTATACTGGTAATCTGAACAACTACTTTGAAGACAACATACAATGTAATAACCACTGTTGAACTCCTACCATCTTGTTTAGTGAGGCTCTGTATCATTTCTAATGTTTTTCATTATTTTTTATTCTCTTTAATTGTTTGATCAGTCTTGCATTCCTACATCTGGTAATCTGATTAACTTCATTGTAGACAACAGTATGTAATATAATAACCATGGTTAACTTCCTATCATCTTAATTTGAAATTCTATCTTTTTTATTGTTTTTGTATTGTTTTGTTTTGTCTTGGTTGTTGTTTTGTTATAGTCTTTCTCTTTAAAATAAAATTAAAGAATAAATAAAAGGAGGAGAGTTTTAATTTGGTTCATGGTTCCAGGGCTATGAATCCATGGTCAGCTGGTTCCAAAGCAGGAAAATCATGGTGAAGGGCATGGTGAAGTGCAGGTACTCAGTTCCTGGTGGCTGAGAAGCAGAGCAGGGACACAGTACCAGTGAGGAAAAGGTGAGAGACCAGGAAGGTACCAAAGGCCATGCTTCCACGACCCACCCAGACACATCCACAAGTGAGTTTACGAAGCCCCTGGGTGGCTCCCAAGTAAATCAAGCTAGGACAATTAAACCTAATCAGCACAGAAGGGACTGAGGAATACAACAAGCACTGGGAGTGACTTTCATTACAATGGCCAGGTTTCTCTTGCAGCCTTTTCAATTTCTCCCTCTACCGCTGCAGTTCAGGTCTATGATTGGTCCTAACTTTTGCAATAAATACAATATTAAATTTTAGTTTTGCTTCCTTATGGGAATGTTGGGCTGTGTTATTTTAGGTAACTAAGCCATAAAATACCCTATTGTTCGCAGGCAATAGGAATACAGGAAAAGACAGCAGTTTGGAAGCTAAAACAGTCTAGGCTCACTGAGTGGTCCTAAATCGAGCCTGAATCAATATTTATTAAATAAAGCAACACAAATGGTTGGACTCAAATTTCAGGTCTGCCATTTCCTAGTTATTATTTAACTATTCTAAGTTCCAGTTTCAGCACTGTTACAAAGAATTATGAACCCCATTTTAACAGAAGATAATCAATAAGTAGCCCTCATTTCTTCCACTGGAACTAAATCTCTCTCACTCTCACTCTCACTCTTGTTCATACAGGGATAGAACTCAGAGCCTTCATCATGAGCTACATCATCGATCCTTGTTTATTTCTCATTTTGAGATAAAGTCTTACTAGGTGACCCAGGCCAGGCTAGACTAACTTGGGGTCCTCCTGCCTCAGCTTCCCAGAATGTTGCAATTACAGGTGTGTACCACCATAACTGGCTTAAATTTCTCTGTTGGAATGAAATTATTTGTAGTTTAATTGACTTTTGCTCACACTTCTTCCACTGTTTCCATACATATGCTGGCCAGTTCCCTTTTTCCAGTCTCAGAATTTATTAAGAATTCTTAGCAGTAAAATATTTAGAGCTACCTGAAGGACTAGTTCAAAGCCACTGTTGGCCTTCCTTCCTTGATTCCCTCTTTCATTCAGTGACTCACCTGGAGGCTGTGTTCAGAAGATTCTGTAGTAGGTGCTGGGGAGTCAGCAGATAACCCTTCTCCCCGCGTGGACATCAGCAGCTTGAGAAACCAGTGGCACCCGGAATCAAAGGACAGGCTGGCATCAAGGACCCTTGAAGTACCTGGCTCATGAAAGCAGAAAGAGAAAACACACAGCAAAACTCGGCATCATAAAGCTTCATTATGGCAGGAATAGTGAGAAAATGATAGAAGTAAAAGAATGAAAACAGGACAGGTACAAAGAAACAGAGACCCACAGCCCTCCCATCAGTAATACCCATGCTGGACACGGCACTCCTGACAAGGAAATTACTAGAAGATGTATACCGTCAAAATGAGGGAGTAAAACAAAAACATAGGGAGAACAAAAACCCAGGAGACAGTGATTTCAACACAAAAGATCAGTAGAGCAAGTCGGGGGTGATGGGTGTCAACAGCAAACTGTCTACATGGATGCAAGGGTAGAAACTTCTAGAAGTGAACTTTCCAGGAAAAGTGAAGCACTCAAGAGAAAAGATGGTCTACATGAACATCCAGAAAAGAACATGTACCAAAATTATGCAAGCGGAAATATTATCAATCATCATGAATAGGAGAATCTGTAGAGTTCAGTATTGAGCAGGGGTTCACATTGTCATAGGAAGCTGAGAATTTGTGCCCATTTCTTAGGGGGTCAAAACAACAGACAGTGAACCCAGTGGACTAAAGCAATAGAAATGTATGGTCTCCCAGTTCTAGAGATTTGTTGCAGCTGTGTCTAGGTGCCCCCTCAAAGCCTCATGCAGTCATAGGTGGGGTTTTCTCAGAGGTGGCTGAATCCAGAGTTTGTGACTGATTCGTGGTGCAAAGCTAGGATTAAGATGCTAGATTAAAGGTGGATAATCACTAAATCAGTCCACTGATTGGTTTGACATCACCCTAATCCTGGTAGCCTGAATAAGATATAAAGGATAGCAACAGCTGTGTCCATCCCTTGTTGCTTTGCTGTCTTCTGTTTGCCATTAACTGCTTCTCCTCTGAAATGCCTGTCTGCTGTGCCACCCTGCCTTGGAGCCGGCCCATGATGGACTAAAATCTCTACAAATTGAGAGGTAAATAAACCCTTCCTCCCTTAACTTTGGGCATCGGGCATTTTGTCTCAGCAATGAGAAAAGTACCTAAGACAAAGTTTAAATTCTACACTGAAGATGTCAAGAGGGCCATGATCCCTTTGAAACTCTGAGTCAACTTTTTCTTTGTCTCTTCTAGCTTTTGATGGTGTCTAGATGTCTTTAGTGGTCTGTAACTTGCAGCTGCATCACTCCAACTTCATCCTCTGTCACCACCTGCTTTCCCCTCAGGATGGCTCTGTCTCACGTGTTATTTACCTGTTTTACAGATACCAGTCATTTTGGATGAGAACTCATCCTAAAATTACTCCATTTTAACTGGATTATATCTACCAAAACCCTCAACTGAAACAAGATTACACTCACAGCCACAAGGGAAGGGGTGCTAGGACTTGAACATATCTTTATGGGCATAAAATTGAATCATAATAGCATTTGTTTAACTTAATAAAAATGGTGGCACAAGTATTGTCCTATGTTCTGTCTCCCTATTTTTGCCAAACAGGGAAAGTCACTTTGCAATGACAACTTGCTCTTTGAACTTTGTGTCCATTTCTTCAGCCCTTTTCCATCTGTGAGAGGAACCCCTTCTGCTCAGTTTACTGGAATGTGTGATATCGATAGAAAGAGTGTTGCCTGGCTCTGGAATCACAAAAGGAAGCCAGTTAAGATCTCTAAACCAAACATGGTGTGATTTTGTCCTGTGATAGCAGGGTTAGTTAAGTAATCACAGTTGACAAAATGAATAAGACCCTAACTCCATCTCCTTCTTGGTGCTCCCTTCCAAGAGCTCTAGGGACCTGGAGCTCCACAGTATCTCACTACCCACTTTGAGTCAGAGAGATGGCAACAAGGGCAAACCATGAATTAAAATCTCAGAAATGCCCTGTCCCTTTCTCTGCTTGTAAATCTCTCTGACTGAGCCAAGAGTGTATGCTTCCCATTCCAGTGTCCCCCACTGAGACAAGGGGCCCTGGATCTCTGGTCAGGGTTGGGCAACTCCCTTCACAGATAAAAGATAAAGGGCGAGGAGTCCCACACCCAAAGCAATCCACCTGTGCGGTCATATTTCCCCTGGATCCCTAGGGCCATCAGAACCTACCCAACCCCTCAACCCTGGCTACAGTCCATCTTGGGAGATTTTCCCCAGGCATTGCATAAAGACTAAGAACTTTTTAGAGACTTCAATCTTCAGAGCAGTTTTAGGTTCATAATAAAATCGAGCAGCAACCACGTGGAGTTCCCAGATGCCTCCCGCTCCTCTCCGATGCACAAGCTTCTCCATCTCCACATCCATCCTCCTCAGCAGAGCGTGCACTGCTTACCGTCGGGTGCACGTGTTACCAGCATGTCAATGTCACCCAGGAGCCATACTTTGCATTAGGTTTCACTCTTGGCATTGCATAGGCCAGTGGTTTAGACAAATGTATAATAACCTCGTTCCACCATTATAGTACCAAGCTTTTAGTGTCACTGCCCTAAAAGTCCCCTGAGCTCTGCTTACTCATGCTTCTCTCCACCCCTCTAGCTCCTGGTGATCATTTTATTTTTCCTGTCTCCATGGTTTTTCTCTCTCTCTAGACTTAACATCCCCCTGGACTAGTACCTGTGTAACCTTTTCTGACTGTCTTCCTTCACCTACTGAGATGCATGAAGCTTCCTTCATCCATGTTTTCACAGCTTGATTTCTTTTTGGCACTGAATAGTATTCTATTTTCCAGACACATCTGTTTCTATATTCAGTCACCTCTTCAAGGGCACATTGGTTGCTTCCAAGATTTGACATTCATAAAGCAAGCTGGTATCAATATAGGTACACAGGTCTCTTTGTAGGTATGTTTTCCAAATCCTTTAGGACAATACCAAGGAGCATGATCACAATCGCTGGACCGTGTGCCCAAGGTATGCTTAGGTTTGCAAGAAACTGCTGAACTGTCTGTCACCCAACTGTTTGAGGATTTTAAAGTCAACACAAAGACCAGCTAGTTCCTACCCAAACCTGCAGTGTCTCTGCATCCTTAGAGGCCCTGGCCCAAAGGTCAGAGCTGGTTTTCCAGATTCCAGAGGGTGAGCTGCTGGGTACCTGCCTTTCTCGGGAGTGGCCAGTCTTGCCCACACCAGCATTCCCATGTCAGAGGGTTCTGGCCTTGATATCTTCTCTTCCTCACTACTGGGAGAAAGGCTAAGAGATAAAGAGGCAATCAACCTAGAGCAGCTTGCCTCAGTTGCACAATTGGGAGGAAATATATACACCTCCAGCTTCCCAGAGCCAAATGAGTGTCATCAAGGCCTCCTCCTTGCTGTGCCAGGTTCTCCTGAGTGGCACCATTAGGCTGGAAGCAGTGACCAGACCGTAGGGACCAGCTCCCTTGCTTGGGTGAGGGACCAACCATCTCCCCTGCATCCTCATCCTTGATGGGTATTCTCATCCTTTATCTGCAGTAGCTGGGCATTGCTCTCAATGGATCCATTTCAGCAGGGAGGCTAAGATAAATCTGGATGGGAAGACATGAGGAGAAGACCCCCAGCGGCAAGCAGATGGCCTGTGGATCCCAAGGACAGCAGTGCCAAGCGACAGATGGAAGTTACTCAGCCTGTTAAAAATTTCATTTCTTACTCCCAAAGGCTTCTGAAGAAACTCGTTAAAATTCAGGGAATTCAGAATTATAGTGTTCAAGATTTAATTTCACCAAATAAAAGGTTTGAGGAGATACTGCTATGTGAGCCAAGGTTATAATTTAAATATTTACTCTAATAATTTGCACTGTTTTGATTATATCCTCCGCTTTTTCATAATACTGAGCGAAGACAATAGTCATATTGCAAAATCAAGGGTATTCTCAAATTTCCATATGCTCTTAAAGTGAGGTTGGAAGCTGCTCTTGGAAAGTAGAAATTCCCCACCCATTCCCCTTAACACTGTAATCTTAAAGTTTAGTTCAGAGTAGTTCAAGCACTGGTGATTTTGCAAATCCCTTGAGTAGTTAACCCAGCGCCTAATTCTTTTCTCCAGTACCTCGCATATAATTTGGTAGTATTGCCACTGTAGAAGTAGATTTACCAACTGATAATAAAATTGCTCAGCATCAGCAAAAGCAATGCTGATTTGCCATAGGCAAACACATCTAAAGAGGAAAAAAGTGGACAATAGTTAAGACCTCTTCTCTTTTGTCCCCCATGGCATCTTTTTTCTTATCTGATTACAAAACCTCATTACAGTAAATTCTGGAATTTCCTGTCACTTCAGGAATTGGATTTCACACAAGTAGATGTAGCATGTTTTTTTCAGTGTACTCTAAATCTATCCTGATTTATTATAAGTTCTTTCAATTTAGAAATATACCAAGTGTTTCTAAGTGCAATCCAGTTTGAGAAAACTGGATACCTCTGGGAAATCTGAACAACTGGTTGTGAAATTTGGATTTTTTTAAATAAAAATTCAAGTGAGAAGTAAACAATTTACTTGGCATTTGACATGGCAAAAAGAAAAAAAACAAAATAATTCTCAATATGGTCTGAAATATTTCACAACTTGGTGAGCAGGGTGTTATTCTTTAATAACAATCTTAGCATAAAGAATGAAATATAATTTATTAAGTTTTGGGGACATGTAATCAATTCAGCTACAGATGTGTCAGAGTTAAAATGACATGAATACCACATGGATTCTTAGCTTTTCAGTCCAATAGCAAGTAGTGTTTTTCAGAGTAAAAGCCAGTGATGTCAGGGTAAGAAAATCAGAGCACAGTGATCAAAGTCAGGACCCCTCCTGGGGTCCCTTGGAAAAGACCTGTTGTCAGCAGGGGCTACCTTTGCAACCAGTTCGACCACTTACAAGTGTTGGAAACCGCTGGAGCTGGATATGGGTGGCACATGTGAGGGCGGGACAGAGCCAGAGTGCCTCAAGCAGTCAAGCTACCTCAGTATTGAAAGAAGCATTCTACCTAGACAATTAGTCGCTAGGCAACATCTCCTCTCCTGATACTAACTTTGCAAGAGTATAAGATGAATGTCCCTACTGTTCAAGTCAGTTCTCTTGCCCACCAGGTAAGCAGTAACTCCACCTGACCCAGCTCTTGACTCTTGTCCTTATTTTCCTCATACCCACTGCCATTTCTCCCTGGAGTACCATGAGAGAGCAGCAAGGTTCTCTACACACAAGACTTAGAGGAAGCCACTGGCCTCCCCAAATCTCAGGTAGCCATTTGACAAAGCTCTTGCATTTAAGGTATTTTTGCCATTGAAAGTGAACAATGTTTATTCAGGACTCATTGTACAAGTTGCATGATATTCTGCTGATAGCGCTCAAAGCTGGGCCCTAACCTTGAAGATGTGCGTCCATCCTGAGAGCCAGTGGAAAAACACTGAGAGTCTACTCTCCTAGAAGGCCTACGCATATTTTTACCATGAGATGAAGTGAGGAGGAATAAAAAGAGAAGGAGGTGTGAGTTAATTCCTTGACAAAAAAGATAAACAGATTTTAAGCAACTTGAAACGACATAAATAAAGGAGACTCCTCCTTTACAGAAAAAGTAGGAAACCATTGAAAGCCATGGGATTTCTAATTTTATGCAGAGACTCCACTGTGATTATTCATCAAGTAATCATGTATGTTTGCATATTGCTGCTTTTTGTTTTTAACCTACAAAGATGTGATTGTGCCCTCAGAATGACAGAGGGCTTGTACTGGCCTCTACCATGGTCTCTAAACTTTGAGAGCCTCATTCGGTGAGTTCACAGAAGCTGGCTGAGGTAACAGAGTCTGATTGCTCAGAAACATCCACATAATGCTTGTTCCCAAGGCATTGGGTGCTCTGGGCCAAATGAGCTCTGAGCAAAGGCACCAGGGTGGGAGCTCTGAGTGAGCTCCCAAGGCATTGGGTGCTCTGGGCCAAATGAGCTCTGAGCAAAGGCACACACTCCCACTGGGGCAATTGTTCTTTAGTCCTATGGGCTTAACCAAAAGTCAGATATTTCCCGTAACCGACAACTAGCAGCATTTTAAGTCTTCTGAATCTTTGTCGCAGCTACTCGATCTCACAGGTACAGTGTAGAGGAGCAGCAGCCCCAGACCATGAGAATGAGTGGGTACAACTGTGTGCCTGCACAACAGGGCGGGACAGTAGGCAGCTGGCTGGACTTAGCCTGGCTCTCGATCTCCCCTGGAGAACGAGGAACGCTGTGCTTCTTTCTTACCAGCTTCCTTTCTAAAAGAAAAGACTCCTTTAAAGGCAAGAGGATGCTGTCTTGAAATAAATGCCTTTGGCAGAGCTGGAGACATGTTTACGGCAGGACAAAGGGGATGGATTTCTGTACACCTTTTCCACATGTCCTGAAGAAGAGAACTCGGTGACAAGATGTAAAGAAAGATGTAATCCCTATTGAAACGGTAAACCCTAGAGATTATGCAAGGATTTTCTTTTTAAAAAGTGTGAATCCAAAAAGAATTAATTGAAGAGCATAAGTTGAAAGCCAGGATCAACTTAGTAACATCCAAGGTGCACAAGTAACTATTTCCGGAGGAAAACTATCTGGATGTCTACAAAGACAACAGAAATTTGAACTCTGGAACGCAGAGTCCTTACTAGGATGTAGAGTTATAGAAATAAGAATATCTAGTTGCTTCTATGTTGATGTATATATTAGTCCTTATAAAAATGAAAATCTCTGGCCTCCCCCAGAGCTCATCTCCAAGAGAACCCATGCAGGAACACACAACTGTTAACAGGTTCACAGGTCAGGAGCTCCCGACTGTGGCAGAGAAAGTACCTTCGCAAGTGGGTCCCACCCTGGTGCCTTTGCTCAGAGCTCATTTGGCCTAGAGCACCCTTTACTGCTCACCCCTTCCTTCTTTCTGCCTCATGTCCAGCTCTGAGCATTCACTTCCTCGCCCTTCCTAGCCCTAGAAAGCCTTCTTCCTCAAGTATTCCTTCCTGGGCTTCTTCACTTTCTGCTCTTATCAACTGGAAGTAATCTGTCAACATCCATTGTGCCCAAAATATCTACAGAACTGGAGTTGCTCCCGCCACTCCATGGCATTTGGGGTTATAGTTATGTAGCTCCTTGAGGAGGGTAGACACACGGGTATTGTTTTGCTGTAGCAGGTCACTGTGTTTTAAGCAGTATATTAAACACTGGCAAGTGTCACACCCATAAATGAAGGTCTGAGCTGGATATATAAAGCTGTGTAAACTACCACGTTAAAGTTACATGTCATTCTCCAAAGACTGAGATTCAATCCTAATTGCCCAAGGAAACACCTTGGTTCCATTATATGTTCACCTATTCACTATTTACCACTAGATATACATGAATACTAGGAATGCTTTCTGCAAGCATACAGAGCTTGTGGGGACATGTTTTAGACATGCCACTGAAGACTCATGCTAATGCCTAAGAGAGGTCAGTGCATATGAAAAAAGAAAATGCAAAGCTCAGAGACTTCCGGTGGCATCTCCCAGACACTCAGAAGCCACCCCTCCCTGCAAAGCCAGAATGATGCAGCTCCTGAGATCTGTTCTCTCCCCACTGATCAGTCACTCTACAACACAATGAAAAATTGTTCTTCTGGTTCCATGCAGTCCTTAGCTGCAGACAGGAGAAACTTCACACGATGCCTACGGGGTTGCACATAGGAGCTCGAGCTTCCCATGCCTGCCTGTCTCTTCAGTCAGACATTTTTGTTTGGACCATAGGTGATATGTCTGCAGAGAAGCTGAGGGGAATAGAAGGATGTTCACCCCCGCACACATGCACTTCCCTCCATGCTACCTGTGCAGGGAGGAAAATTAGAAGAGGGTTCTGCCATCTAGCAGTCTGCGTCATCAGTAATTTTTGAAAAAGAAACTGTTACTCACTTTGTCTTCCTAGTGCTAGGAGCTTTCAGTTCTGTTCCTTGGAAATCTACTTCCCTCGACAGAAAATCATTCTTTGGCTTGGTTTTTGCTTTATTGCAGACTTTTTTAGAACGCAGAGGTTATTGTCACTGTCACAATGGCAGCAGCTGAAGAATTATTGATACCAGAAGCAGGCATACATTAGCTGAGGCGTATTCTACAACCTTACATGTTTTATTCCGTTTCATTGCCTCAGCCATTCCATCAGGTGCGTTCTTTCCTATCTTTTAGCCATGGATGAAGGACTAAGGTGTTCATCATCTCATCCCAGGCAACATGCCACGGCAGGGGGAAGGGCTCTGTGAGCAAAACCTCTTCATCTCCTACTTCCTGATCTCATACGCATGAGCATCATCTTATACAGCAATTATTCATTCTATGCAAGTACACATTATACATCTCTGTGTCCGTGAAGATTTCCCATCCATCCTATGGGCCTTCTCAATGTTTCCTTTCCTGTTAGTGCTCCCCAAACTGACTCATCCAGGGCTCGGCAATGTCTGCTACACAAATTACCAGATGAATAGGTTGAATTCATGTGGAAAAGATTTTCACTCTTTATAGACACAAGAACACACAGATTTAAAACAAGAGGAAAGGAAGTCGACCCAAGGAGGACACAAACATGAATTCACTGCTCTCCTTATTCAGCATGGCAGGATATTCTCAGTGTGAAGGACCGTCACAGAGTTGTACATTGTATACACCACAACCCAGTAGATGCAAACTGAACAGTGATTGCTACAATGCAAAATGTTCTCTTCTCACCACAGTTGTTCATGGGCACTCTTATAACCCCAGCTTCTCAGGAGGCTGAGGCAGGAGAATAACAAATTCAAGGCCAGCCTGAGCAACTTAGTCAGACTCAGTCTCAAAATATAAAAGGCCGGGGATGTAGCTCAGTGGTAGAGAGCTTGCCTAGCATGTGCAAGATCAATCTCCTGTATGCACAAAATAAAGTCAGAGGTTGCTTAGTGTTTCCCTCATCTCCTAGCCTCCTTGCACAGAGATGATCATGACTTCCATCGCTGTGAACCTGCCCTTGTTAGAAAGGGGCCATGGGAGGAGGAGCTATCAGCTCCAAGCTGAATGTCACTCTTTCATGATTATTTCCTTTCTGAGCTGCAAACAACATTGCAATTCTTACTTGTCTTTATGAGCTCAGATACTTTTGAGAAATTCTTTTTTACTTAAACTATACTTTAAGTTTGTAGAAAAACCAGAAATAGCCACATTTTCCACGTAAGAGATCACAGCAAAGTCCATGACCCAGGGCAATCACTAAGTACAAACTCTCAAGTTAGTTTTCTTGAAGCCAAGGTACCAACTCTGAAAGGCAGTGGTGAGTGTGCTGGCCTGCCTCCCAACAGGCGCTCAAAGATTTCCACATCTTCCTCTTCCATGTCTATTGGAAGACTTTTGGCTCCACACTGAAAACCGTAAAACCATAAACCAGATCTGAGAAAAACCCACAGCTGCATACATCTGATGACAGTCTTAAACTGATTTTCCAAAGATAGGGAACTCAGCAAAACCCAAAGTCCATGATGTGAACAACGTCAGACCTTCACTCCCAAAACCAGGGGGTATCCCATGGAATATGTAACCCGTGTGTTCCTGAGCTATTTACAGTTATGGCATCAAAATGCCATTTGCATAAGTTTTTCCAAAGTTTTATGAACTTTTATTTCTCACTCTCTCAAATGAATTCTGGTGGGAGTCAGGTTTTGCCAGGGAAACACGATTCCCAAAGTCCAAGTCATTTTCAAAACCAAAACTTTGTAAATTTCAAGTAGTTACTTTATCACCTCAAGTAGCCGTTATTTTCAGCAACGACATGACTCATCTTTAACAGTGTTGTAGAAAAATAGCTTTTCACCACCCCGTCAGAATTAATGGGACAAACTTCTGGCTGTCCATTCGACTTCCTGTGCTGATCCACTACAATCTAGACTCCCTGACTCTAAGAAGCTTATAATCTAATAAGAATATTGGACCTGTGCACAAATACTCTTGTAT